AAATTAATGAAAAAAAAAAAATTAGGATTAATTGTGCGTTAGGTTTGCTCATCTAAAGAGTATCAAATAATTTTTGTGAATTTTGAACTTTGAACTTTTTCTTCTATGTTCTCAAAAACGAGTAAGATAATGAAAAAATGAAAAAAATTACTGAAAAAATTACTGCATTACAGTACTAAGAAATATTCAGGGATGCTAGGAATTTTAAAAAATGCCAAAAGAAAACCATTATGTACAAATAAGATAGATTATATGATAAATTGTTTTATCACAAAAATGCTTTAAAGAATTGTTTTAAACCAAACTTTTTAGTTGTGATCAAATATCTATTAAATATGGTTACATAAATTAGACAATTACATAAATATCAGGCATAGCTGCATAAATGTATAAAAAATGTTTACAAAAAGGTAATTATGTATGACCATATTAAAACTTCTACAAGATAGATCTTTTATGGGTTAAAAACACAGATGTTATGTTTGAAATGATTGAGAACTATGTATCAAACATAAATAGATTTTTATACTGTTTCAAAATAAAAAAATTAAATTTACCTGACAGATGGAATAATATATGAGCTATAGATAGCATTAAAGTCCTCTTTACAGCCAACAGTGTCTTCTATTATATATACAACATCATATTGCTCCTCACTAATCAACATTATTTACAATTCTTATATATTTTCATAGCAAATAAAATATTTATTTTTCTGCTAAAAAATAAAGGTAAATTATTGTAATTATTATAATCTAAGTTGCACTTAATTAATAAAAAAAAAAATTATTTGTAATATATGTACTTTCCGGATCAAAAAAATGAGACCGTGTATGCAAAACTTATTTGTTTTTATTTTTACAATTTTTGGCGAGTCTTACAATTACTTTTTTTGTGTTTCATGAAACCCATTGTTTGATTTATCAGGTGCATATATATTCATCAAAAAATCTATGTGCTCATTACTATTTCTGATTTACCTAAAAATATTTATTTTAGAAGTTGTCAGCTTTGACACTTGACTATCTTTTTAAAGTGGGTCATAAAGACCTAAAGTTTTTGATGAAATTAACTGAGATACCTAAGGCAGCAGTTGCAAGATATTTAAAGAAAATTAGAATGAAGGAATGAGCTTGGAGAGAAAGAAAGGAAGTGGTAGAACAAGAAAACTTAATTTAAAGGACCAACAACAATTTATTCAATTAGCTCAAAAATATGACACACGATCCGCCCAAGATATTCAAATTGAATTAATCAAAAAAGTCAGTCACAAGGATGCTCCCATAACCATTACTCGTTATCTTAACTGAAGTGGATACTTCAGTTTTGTTCCCAAAAACAAACCCCTATTGACTCCTGTTCAACAAGAAAATAAGGTAAAATCGTGTGAAGAACACCTAAGAACAAGATGGAACCAATGGGTATTTAGTGACGAAAGTCATTTCGAGTTATTTTGAATTCAAAAAGGTCAAAGATCGATGGGCAAAGAAACAACTGAGAGTTTGCAAACCAAAGTTCAAACAGAGTCTTATGGTTTGGGGGGCGATTAGTTGCAAAAGTAAAATATCATTGCTTATAATCAAGGGCATCGTGAATATTGAAAAATACAAAGAAATACTTTCTGAAGTTGAGTCAACTCTAAAAAATCTTTTCCCAAGGAGTTTTACATTTCAACAGGATGGGGCGACATGCTACACCTCAAAATTAGTTTCTGAGTGGTTTAAAGAACATAAATAAAAAGTTTTTTCTTGGCCCGCTAATTCTCCTGATCTAAACCCCAAAATGCGTGGATATTGAAAATGTGTGTGGGGGAGGGAGGGGTGAATGAAAAAAGCAGTGGAAAAGAAAAAAAACAAAATATTTAGATGATTTAGAGATTGCAATTCAAGAAGTTTGAAACAGACTTTCTTTAAATTATTTGAAGTTATTAATTGACAGTATAAACCGCCGTGTTCAAAAATACATAGAAGTCCAAGGACACGTGACCAGATATTATTTATTATATATATTATTTTAAAAACTAAGTATTACTCTTTATTTTCTATTGAACAATTTTGTTATTCATTTAATATTTTGAAAATAAAACTTAAAACACTTGGTCTCATTTTTTTTGTCCGGAAGGTACATATATAGACACATTATTATGTATGTATGTATGTATGTATGTATGTATGTATGTATGTATGTATGTATGTATGTATGTATGTATGTATGTATGTATGTATGTATGTATGTATGTATGTATGTATTAGTGATGTACTTTTTTGGCCGATGCTGATACAGATGGATGGGAAAAGGCCAATACTGATGCAGATACTGATGAATTAACTAACTATTGAAATTTTGAAAATATAAAACCATACAACTTTAAATCATGTAAACTTTTACATGGAATCAGTACTTGTAAATAAATACTTGAATTGGTGAATGTTTAAAAGGGTTGAAGTCCAATAATGTAAACTTTCTAGAAACCATAAAAAAAACTGCATTTTCCCCGGTA